CTAAAAAATTTTCATCTTTTACTAGTCCATTAAGTTCACGGTCAGTAAGTCCTATACCGCATATATCAATCACCCCAATAGCAATACAGTTACCTAATAGTAAAGATAATAGAAAGAAAAGTATATTATCAACGATAAAAGGATGGTTGGGTGGATCTAGCCAACAGAATCATAAAGATTCGAGTAGTGCTTATAAGAAAAGCATGTTGAATTGGACTGAAAGTGGAATTGTGGTTCCTGCTGATGTTGCACGTTCACAAATGCGTATTAGCAAGAGGAATGATGGTAAAACACCACTGTCATATGATAGTACTAGTAGTCTCAATATTCGAAGAAGATCGTCGTCAATATCACGTGGTGGGTCAATAAAAGATAGAAAAAAGAAGAACCGAAATTCTTTTCAGGGTAACAAAAGTCGTCGTTCAAGTACTGCACCTTTGACTATTCCTCCCGTTACGCCTTCTGTTGTTCTTTCTCATAATTCTCCAATTGGTATGTCACCCATCCCTGGGACACCACCAGCGGTTAGACATAAAACCATGTTTACCATTAATCGTAGAAACCCATTTACTTATACAGGAAACTCATGGGGACGTAAACAAGTAAAGCGACGGAGTATAGGAGGAAGTTCAATTAGCAGCAGCATACAGGAAAACTTGGATGCTGAAGTTGGATCTGGATCTGGCTCATCTGAGAATGCTAATAATCAGGACACTTTTGAGACAAGTGCGATAGAGAACATTTCTGATGATACTGTAAACAATGATACTTTAACCATAGATGGACATACTATAATAGTAGAATCTTCAAAATCAAAAACAATCACATTAGCATCACCACCTCCTACACCACCACTACCACTAATACAGGATAACAACTCTGAACCGTCGATATCAAAACAGAAGAAAATAGATTTACAAAAAGTAGACGAATCGTCACATAAAACACGAGAAGATGTGACTTCGAGTGATGACGGTGAGGAATCTGATACATTTATTGATGCTTCAAGTGAAATTGCATCTCACCCACGATCCCGTACGCCATCACCATCTCCTTTTACTGCTGCACCCCCATTATCTAATGATTCACCTGTACTCAAACCTTATGGAACCATCATAAATCCACTTACTTTTCCTTACACCCCATTCCATAATTCCAATTCCAATTCTAATTCTATAATATCGCAAATACCAGTCTCTCCACCTTTATCTCCAGCCGATAGCAATTCCGAAGTTTCACCTACGTCGCCAAGAAAAAGCCACCAACGTCTCAACTCATTACCCGCTTCACTAAATTCAGGATCAGGAGTGAAACAGAGGGACGTTTATATTCCTCCTAATGAGAAGTCACAGGCACTTGCACAATCAGTAATAGATTTTATGTCCACACCACCAGAATCACCAAAATTGCCGTCACCGACAATAACGCCTTCCTCATCGTCAACATCTCCACATACGCATATTACCAAATCTTCACAGTTGCGTCAATCGCATAGCCGTTCATATTCTTCACCGACTATTGGAAACAACATAGGTAATAGCAAGGTGGATGTTACTTCGCGTAATGAAACTTCCATAAAAGATTCTTCGTCCTCGCCACCAAATGGACTCAATAATGCGCAGCTGCTGTTTTTCCACAACAATAATAATTCATCAAATTCACGACGCGCTCATACGAGTTCGACCAGTACCTTAAGTAGTTCAATGGCTTCACGGAGAAAAAATCTAAGCACAATAAAACCCTCGGTGATCATGGAGGAAGAGGAAGAAGAATGTTGACAAAAATGTTAAAAAAGGTGTGCTGACATCTAATATGGACTATGTTTATTTTTTCCTGCCTATGTCTTGAATCATTTGTTAAAAAGGTGCGGTTGAATTGTATTTCTAATTTGATTTGTCACTAGAGTATTAATTTTGCGTTTATTGCTTATTTATTCCCTTAAACCTAAAACATAAAATTACTATTGTGTACAAAAAATTCACACTGATATTAAAAAGTATTATAATGTCATTTGCATAGTTTTTTTTTTTTCTTTTTTTTTTTTTTTGTGAAATCAATTAATTCAACCAATTAATTATTAGCAAATTATTTCCGGTTAGTTACACATTTTCAAAAAAAACCTCCCCCAATTACTAGTATTCTATTTCTAATGTTATTTTAAAAAATTTAGTCAATTCTCATTTTTTTTTCCTACAATCAATATACTTCTATTTCATGCATGTATGCGTATTATTTTCGTTAGAACGCAAAATTTTCCTTTAATTCTTGAGAATTGAAGAAATCATTATGAAAAAAAATATATCATTTGCAAAGAAAAATCATAATTTCAAATAATTCATGTTTAAGATGTACTTACTACATGTATTGTAATATTGGTCCGTGTTTTATTATACATGCATCTATCGGATAATCTAGCACAACATTAAAAATCAAAAATCCTTTCGATGATTCAAACAAGTATGACGAAGAGCGTTAACCTTATAGAACTTTTGAGAACATGTAACTCAAAATTTCTCCATTCTAAGAGTGCTAGTGAAATTAAATTCGGTATCTTAATAAATTTTTATTGTTTTAAATTCTTCGCTTTTATTTGATTGATTTGAATTAATTTAATTGGACATAAATCACATGTTTTTATAATTTTTTGGACACGATTAAAAGTAATTCTTGAATGGTGCTAGGTTGGTGGCGCATTAATCAGCCATAACGATCTCTTTTATTTCTAAAATTTCTTTTTAAATGAAACCTTCCACCGCGTGCCTCGTCAACCGTCCTATACTTTAAATGTTTTCTATTTTTCTTTTGTGATTTGGAGATATAACAGAAATATGTAATTAGGGATGGACGATAATAAAAATGGTATAATAAACGTATAATTGGTATAGTATAATTATTAAATCTCCGTATATAATTGGTATAATCCCCCGATCACCATATCAAGATCACGGGAGGATTAATTAATGTTGCGGATGATCGTGAAATCGGATGATCGTGAAATTTAGAGGTCTCGATTTGAAAATATAAGCCCTACCAAAATCCACCTATACTGTTTTACTAAAAACATAACCCTAAATCCTAACTTAACTATAAAAAAAAAGCTAACAAAAAAGGCCCAAAAATTTTTTAAAAATCGTACGTACGTACGTACGTACATAAAATAGATCCAAATTTCACACGATCATCC